CTTTCAATAAAGATAGTGGCAGAGCTACTTGAGGAAGATGAGATGTACATTTTGAAGCTGAAAAGTCAATTGGATTATGAAGAGGGTTTAGTATGCTACTCTGCTTTTTGGGGTGTTCGAAGCTGGTCTTTTCTGGCAGATTGGGTGTTTAGAGGTTTTAGTATTGATTTGGATTGGCAGTTTTAATTGCCTTGATTTAGGAGTTCAGCCTTTTTATGTGGAGTTTTGGTGGCATCTTGCCATTTTTTTAGTGTTTTTATGGCCTTTGGATATGAACTAGATTAGAGCATTTAGTATATGCCAACTTATATACATTTTTGCAATGATGTATTTTTCCTTGGCCCTGTTATTGATATATCCTTAATGTGCTCTCTTTGTATGCATTTGTTATACATCATTGTATGTCCTCTTTGCCTATTAAAAAAAATACTAGGTTGGCACTTGTTCCAAAGCCTAATCACATGCTAAGCCAAAACCCAGCCAAAAACAGAAGATGAAAAACAAGACACCAAAATCTTCACTAACCCATCAGCACAACTTAAAAAGGCATCCACAGCAGCAAAACAAAGACAAAAAACAGAACAACAGTCTTGAAGTAAAAGCTGCATCACAGTGTCTTCCCGCTGTTGATCCTTTAATGCAAGCTCATAATGCACCTTCTCAAGTTAAGTTTGTCCCCTCCAGCGATTAGATAGTTGACTCATATTATATTCTAATTCAGTCAGTTATTCATTTCTTGCCTCTGTCCTTACTTGTACTATAAATATTCTAAGGAATTCAGGGAAACCTTAATGAATTTTAAGGAATCCTAATGGATTTAGCACATACCTAGGTGAAGATTTTGGGTTTTTTTTTATCCACTTCCCCTTTTACATCATAGCTCAATGCCATGGTTTGTAATTCATGTATTGTACATCGATCCAATAGGGGTATGTCATATGTTTAAGTAGAATATTCATGTTTGTGTGTGATTGTATAGTGGATTAAAAAAAAGCTATTCAAGATGTGAGACCCTAATCATGGAATTATTGTTGTCAATAGCTAGAATTCTCAATTATATTTAAAGCAAAAAGTGATGACAAAAATGTGTGTTTTGTAGAAACATTACCTGATTCCTGTGCCACTGCAAAATATGATATGAAGTTCCAAATCCTTCGGAGCAGCTTTGTCCCTTTGTCAGATTCCAGCAACTGCTTAACTATGGAGAAGGCTTTTAGATTTAGAATTGAAGGTAATGCATTGTTTCAGTCAGTCCAAAGAGAGAGGTAAGTGTTGTCTAATAAAGAAAATAAAAATTTTAAAAAATGGCTCAAACTCATGAACTGTTTTGTTGCTTTGGCAGATTTCCCATTCTTGTACTTGTGGCATTATTATTCTTTATTTAGCTTGCTTCTTAACTTTGTACTTCACTTTGTTCCTTGTTTAGTTTACATGGATTGCCATTTATTCTTGTGTTGTTCGTCTTTAGATTTCTTGAAGATCAAAGTGTAAATAGAGAAACCTTCTTTTATAATTTATTCTTGGGATAATTATACGTCTGGCCCCAAAGGTATATGCTCATTACATTTTAGTCCCTAATTTTTTAATTGTTCCAGTTTAGTCCTCAAAGCATGCAATTCATTATACTTTAAGACCTGATATCATTGCCGTTCACAATCAATAACAGGATGAAGGGTATTTTTAAAATTTTACATGAAGCCATAACAAAATCACAATAACCAAATACAAATATGGTGTCAAAGTAAGCACTTTATAACATTATAGTTCCTAAACTATGTATTTTGTTTTATTTTAGCTTCCAAATATATACTTTCTTACATTTTCGTCATACTCTTATTTTTGTTGATTTTTTAAATTACAAATCTGAATACTAAAATATAAAATAATGCATATTTTAAAGACCACTTGTCTGATTAACCTTTATTCTTTGTATTGTTATCCGCTTCCTTTGTGTCTAATTATCAACAAACACAAATAGAGAAACCTTCCTTGTACTTGTGGCTAGCGAACTTCTTGTATTCTTATGGGAATCCATATATTTCTTTTGCGTTTTCATGGAGGGGACATTATAACATTCTTCTATGAACACATAGAAGCAAGCATTTATTCTTGTACTGTTCGTTCCTCTTCAGTGTTCTTGAAGATCAAATAGTAAAATAGAGAAAGCTTCCTTCATAATGATTTATTCTTTGTATTGTTTCTAAGTTTTTTTCAGCTTCCCAGCATCGTCTTAATTTATCAACAAACGCTAATGCTTTGTTTGGTTCACTAAAATAAAATGCAATGATCATTCACTAAAAAATGATTAAAAAAATATCACAAATAAAATCATCATTAATTACTACAACATGATACTCATCCCACTACATTTCTATTTCATTCTAATTAACCAAACACGCCATAATAGTAATAGAGAAACTTTCCTTTTGCTTGTGAGTTGTGGCTAACAAAAAACTTCTTATATTCTTTTCTTGAAACCATGTTTTGAGTTTGATGGAGGGGACATTAACCATTCTTCAATGGAGGGTATTATATCGGTGGATGGAGACAGAATTTTAGTTCAGTAAACAAAAGTTTAGGTTGCATTGTTTTTTCCCCTTAGATTAGGTTGTTGGGATGAGATGTAGATTATGATTTAAGGTCCCAAAATATTTAATTTCAACTTAGGGATTTTTTCAGTATAAAATCCTTACAGAAAGGACCAATTTGGGTTTGATATAGGTTTAGTTAGAAGCAAAAATCTAGTGATATTATTTGTTCTGCATTTTGTGAAGGTCCTGTCTCATCTAAATCATGATGTACTAAAAATCAAACATTAAAGAAGCCTATTCAGTTTTATTTTAAAAATATTCTTTACTGTTCTAAATTGTTGAACGAATCTGTGAGGAGAAATGAATGACGTTGAAGCTAGAATCAAAGTTGTTGACACTGGTTTCTAAGAGGGATAGTGGACACTAATGAACGTTGTGACAGAGATATAGAGCTTTGTTAAAGTAGAGTTGGATGTTATCTGAAGAAATGTTTTCTTTTTTTTTTTTTTGATCAATAATACTAAGATGATTGCAAATTTCAAACCGAAAAACCATGCTTAAGATTTTTGCTCCGAAAATTAATTCAAAGTTGCTAAATAATGTTCATCTATGACATTAAAAATATTCTAGGAGAAGTCTTTCATCAAGTGAGCAGTTGAGTGGCATGAAAATTAATTTTAAAACTTGTACTTTTATGTAAATAAACTCTGAAATATACACCTTGCAATTTGGTTGGAATCAACACTGAGATTCACTTTCGAATGTATTTTATTATCATTCCATTAAATTTGAAACTGAATTTTTTTTACTCAAATTGTATACTTTAGGAATGACATTTCCAAAATAAAATTTTTTAAAGACAAAGTGATACAGAATACGTACTTTAGCTTCCTTTGTGTCTTATTATCATGAAACACTAATGGAGATACCTTGCTTGTGCTTGTGGCTAACAAACTTTTTATATTCTTAAGGGAATCCATATATGTCTTTTGACTTTTCATGGAGGGGACATTATATCATTCTTCTTTGATTACATAGAAGCAAGCATTTATTCTTTGTATTGTTTCTAAGTTGTATTCAGCTTCCTTGTGTCAACTTAATTATCAACAAACACTAATGTTCTGTTTGATTCATTAAAACAAAATACAATGATTATTCCATTAAAATGTTTATTTTCACATTTGATTCACTAAAAAATGATGAAAAATATGTGTAACAAATGGAATCTCATTCATCATTATAAGTGAATACTCATTGCACTAAATTTCTATTTCATTCCAATTAACCTAACACTCCATAATAGTTTTTTCTTGGCTAACAAACTTCTTATGCGGTATTCTTTTTATTGAAACCATGTCTTTGAGTTTGATGGAGGGGCAAGTAACCATTCTTCTGATGGAGTGGATTATATATATATATGGGCGGATGGAGACAGAATTTTGATCTTACCTAGAAATTTAGAACTATATATGAATGTAGAGGTACTTGAAAATTGAACGAAAGAGTGATAATTTTAAATGAAAATATAGTTCCACATAACATAAACATAAAAACCGGACAGAAAAAAAGAGATAGTGTATAGAGGAGAACACATGAGGCAATAGGTTTCAACTTAATCGAATCAATTACACTCCTAACAAATACTACTGTGAACAAGGACGGATTCAGAATTATGTCTTTGGAGTGCTACTCTATAGTTTAAAAAATTGGGGGAGCTACTCTATGTACTTTTGAAATTATCTACAAAAAATTTAGAGGTGCGAACTCCTATAATTTTAAGTTATTTTAAAATTTTTAATATAATATATGATATTTTTCAAATTTTTGAGGGTGCGGCCGCGCCTCTAGATCCATCATTGACTGTGAAGTATAATCAGGGCATAAAATAATGCTACTCACACCAAAATAAATCACTGAACTGAACACAGAATTTTATGTGGCCTAAAACATCAGAGGAGGTAGTTGCATCATTCATATGCTGGGCAAAACAGCACTGTTACCATCATTGCAATTTTCAATTACTGAAATCGCCAATATAAAGCAAAATGTTTGTATCTATAGATGCTATTTAAAATTTCAGTGTCGCTCATTTCTCCCTTTCACAACAGCATGAAAATTAATTTTAAATTTTAAAGCTGGTACTTTTACCTAAATGAACTCTGAATATACACCTTGCAATTTGGTTGGAATCAACACTGAGATTCACGTTTGGATGTATTTTAATATCATTCCATTAAATTTGAAATTGAATAAATTTGACTCAAATTGAAAACTTTAGGAATGAAATTGACAAAATAAATTTTTTGAAGACCAAGTGACACATAATATATACTTTAGAGACCATAGACATAATTTATTCAGCATTAATATAGATTTAGATATAGATATGAATAAATAAAGAGATGGAATAGGCAACGCATGAGGTGGCCAAAGTATGCCCGAACTGCTAAGTCGTATGATATCTGGGAAATAATTCTTCCCTAAAAATACAGTAGTCAATAAAGGTTCAGTGATAACCTAAACCTGGTTACTACATTCTTATGCAAAACATTAGCTCTATATTACATACTGAAGAATAAAAAAAAAATAGAAAGAAAAGAACAAACACAAAATTTAGATTAGAGATACAACAAGAAGGAATGTATGATCATAAGTTTGTCTAAATTAAAGTTACGTAGTTGTGGTTATCATGAAATAAGTTTTGATGACAGAAATCCAATACACTGTCGTAGCAAAAAAAATGTCTGTTGGCAGAGATGACACTTTTTGTTTGTTTGTTTTTGTTTTTTGCAATCCAAAAGGAAATAAAAATCAACAATAATAGAAAAGGGTTTGCTTAATCATGAGGTGATTGGCAGCTTGGAGTATTTGAATTGGTGTCTGCAAATTGCAATTGAATTTCCTTCCATGATAAGCGCCGGCAGCAAAGACCTTACAATTACAAACATATACTAAATATAAGGAGGTGCAACAAATCAATGCACAAATATGAGTACTAAATATACAGGTGATTGACTTGTTTTGTTTTGATAAAAAATAATTTTTTTGTGATTCTGACCCTAAAAATGATGGTATGTTAGTGATTGTGATAGTGGTGTAGGTGGGAAAGTGAGCGGAGGTGTAGTGGTGGCAGCGGTGACAACAAAAGTAGTGATATTGATAGTGTAGATGATAATACTAATTAAATTTTGTGTAATCAAGTGAGTTTTTTTTGTGGGTTGTTAGTCCAAACATTTTATTACAAGCCTTTGATAAGAAGTATGTTTTTAATACCTATGATCGAAGATTTTTAACAGTGATTTTTTTTTCCTGATATCACAGATAAGGACTATTTATCTATTTTGACATTTAAATGAGGAATATAACTTTTTAGATTTTAAATAAAGAGTGTTAAAACTTTGGAAAATTATATGTACACATCCCCTCAAAAGATGTATATCATATACACCATGTCATATATTTTTATATTGTTTGTTACGTATTTTTATGATAAATGTTATATATTGTTTTGATAGTGTTACAATAATTTTTGATTCAAAAATAAAATTATGCATTTTATAATAATGTTATATTTTTTTAACCACAAAATGTATAATATTACCACAAAATGTATAACTTGATTTTTGAATAACAAATTATCGTAACTCTATCAGAAAAATAGGTAACATTTGCTACAAAAATATATAACAAAGGTGCATGTGGTGCATACCTTTTGAGGTGTGTGTTACCATAGCACTGCCGTAAAACTTATTGTATTTGATTTCCTAAAATGAGATGTGATGAAAAGAAATAATTATTCCACAGGTTCTTTTTAAGGATTATATCTTTTTATTTATTTATTTTTTCCTTTATATAAAATGGTCCAAATTTTGAACGCAAAAATCATTTTTAATGGTTTTTTTAGTATTTTTTTTGGTTTTTTATGAGATGGAAAAAAAAAAAAAAAGTTAATGAGAATGACTTTTATTTTTTTTATAGTTATATCGAAAGTTGTGGATTATTGTTTTTTTAGCGATTTATTAAATTTTTAACTTTTTAAATAATTTTTTAACATTTTATTGATGTTTTGACTAATAAAATAGTCACAAAATAAAGTTTCCAAATGGGCTCTAAATCAAATATATCTATGACATTAAATTAAAGGGAAATTTACAAAAAAAAATAATTTCAAAATTTGATCACTATAACAAAATAAATTTTTAATTTTAATTTTATCAATTTAAACTCTAAACTTGTTAAATCATAAGGCTATTTTCGTTAAGTAAATTTATCATTTTAATATCTTAAATTTTAATTTTATCATTTTAATTATTAAAATTGTCAATGTAAGAAGTAAAATGATAAAATTACAACATAAAAAACCACCAAAAACTCTCCTATCCTATGTATATTCTGTTTAACTCTGAAATAAACAAACACAGCAATTCAGTTAGGGGCAAACCTTACAGTTAATTGAACTGACATTCAACTTTGAGATTCATTTTTATCTTCCCTAACCCTTGCGTTTTCCACCTTCCGATTGAAATATTCTTCAAGATTGTCGATTTTAGTCATAGATTTTTGTTTTCCGATATAAGACCAGAGCTCGACATAAGGGATATGCTCGACGATCCAGTAGTCTTTTCCTTGGTTGGGTTTGGGTTCCATTCTATCTATGAATTCTTCCGGCATACAGCAAAACTTAAGAGTTTTGAGTTTTTGGAGGTGGTGGATGCTAGATGGTACCTCTTTTAGTTGTGGGCTAGGCCCAATTGCTAGCTCTTCAAGAAGAGGCAATGCTCCTTCCTCTGTTATCACCGAATTCAATCCCTTGAACTCTATGAGACGTAGTTGCTTAAGTTTTTGAAACCCGCCAACCTCAAAATACAACTGCTCCCCATAATATGCATCCCAAAGCCAAAGACGTACTAAACTAGGTAAGACTTGAAGGGCTTTTACTGGATCATTGTTGGTAATACCTGAACCCGATAGAGTTAATGTGACTAGATTTTGAAGTTTCGGGATCCAGTCGGGCAACTTCTTTAAACGTCCAACCAACATGAGACGTTGAAGATATTGAGGTGGAGATGATATATACTGTAAATCCAAAATCTCATCATCACTTGAGGCCCATACACTCAAACGTTGAAGGTATTTCATCTTCTCAATGGCTGCACATAGACCCCTCCCATGTTCCCTTTGCAATTTCGTAATTCCCAACTTCCTTAGCTGCCTCAATTTCTCAAGCTCTTTAATTAGGCCATGATTTGTCTCCACAAAACACAAAATTTGCAGCTCCTCTAAACCCCCAATCCCTCCCTGTATCTTCACTCCTGCTATCCCATCCACAAAGTATTCACATTCATAGATAATAGAATAGGCAATAAGATGTCGCAACTTATGGAGCCTACTGATATCAAATGGGAGCTCTCTCACGGGGGAATGTTTCAGATCCAAAGTCTCTAGGTTTTGCAGCTTACCTATGGACTTTGGAATTATCTCCACTTGTGTGCTCCTTATGCTTAGGTATCGCAAAAGAAATAGATTTCCCACTTCTTCGTGAAGTTGATCCAAATGAGCATCCTCAAGATCCAGCAATTTCAAAAGCTTGAAATTTGCAGCTAGTGTACCCAATAAGGCCTTCTTGGGCAGCTCTCCCACTTGAAAAAGAAAAACAGAACAAACTGGGGATTTACTAATGCTTTTCATAACCTTATCCATGTTGCAGTAATGCATATGCATAGATAGCCGGCGAGTTGTGGCATTGAAACTTGAATTCTCCTCTTCCAAAATTTGACACAAACTAAACTCCTTGGACATTGAGAGAATAATCTCTCGCACTACATCATGTACCTGACACTGTTTAACTCTTCCATCAAATTTTGTTGTTGACACTAGAACTAAGCGTCTATGGATCAGCTCAGTCAAGTATTCCTCTGCAACTTCTTCCAATGTTTTTCCGTTCTGTTCTTCAACAAAACCCTCAGCTATCCATAGCCGAATTAGTCTCCCAGCTTTGATAGAGTAGTCTTCTGGCATTATGCCAAAGTACAAGAAACAAGATTTGAGGTGATGAGGCAGATCATTATAACTTAACAACAAAATTTTGCTAATGCTTTTAAGGTTAGGATTCCTTTCCAACTCAGAGTTCATGCTACCATAGAATTTTTGCCATTCGGACATACCCTTGTTTTTGGTGGACAAGAGACCGCCTATAGCTGCAATTGCAAGTGGCAAACCTTGACACTTTCTAACAATTGCATGTGATACGTCCTCCAACTCAGGGGGACAATGACCCTCGTAGTCCAATTGGAAGGCTTTCTTGCAAAAGAGTTCCCAAGCCTTCTCTTCGGATAGGGCTTCAAGCTCGTGGACATGATCCACTGAAATTTCTTTGCAAAATGTAGCAACCTGTTCACTGCGTGTGGTGATGATTACCCGACTGCCTTCACTATTTTTGGGTAAAGCATGTCTTATGGATCCCCAAAAATCAGTTTCCCATACATCATCAAACACAATGACGTACCTCTTTTCGCATAAATATCCTCTTAGCTTGGCTATGAGTGAATCAATTCCCTCATTAGGTAGAGGTAGAACATCATCTCCTGATAGTTCCTTTATCATTGTCTTGAGGAGCTCCTCTGGCTTGTATGATTGAGAGACAGTGATCCACGCTTTGCAATTGAAGTGTGCAACCACTTCTTGGCTGTCATAAACTTTCTTGGCAAGAGTGGTCTTGCCAATTCCACCCATGCCAACCACCGAGATCACTGCTCGTTGTGATTGATTTTGGTCAACCAATCTGCTTATCAGTTCATATTTGGGAGATTCAATGCCAATGACTTCGTCATCCCCTATGAAAAGGGAAGCCAGTCGAGGGTCACGCCACATGTTGTCCTTGGTGATGCTGCTAGTGCTGGTGCTGCTATGTTCTGAGGAAGTACTAGTGCTGAATCCATATCGATCAGCTCCTTCCTTGATTTCACGGATTGTAGTCTTGATGTCTTGGATCTGAGAAGCTATCTCATGTCGTGGCTTTAGCTTAGTGACCGTCCGTGTGACTTTATGCAAGGAACCAAATAGTCCAGGTTGTTTTGGTGAGACCAAGAGAATGTGTTCATCGATAACATCTTGTATCCGATAAGCAACTTGCCTTACTTGTTTCACCCATATTTTCACACCTTCATCTCCCGTTTCTGCTCTTGATTCTGCATCTTTTAAGAAAGAGTGTATGCGCTCCAATTCAGCTTTGATATTGACCATTTCCTTGCGAACACCCCTCAACAACTCTACTTCACTGGCTAACAATGGTCCCAAATATTGAATAACAGAGATCACTGCTCTTTCTGCCATTAGTTCTCCTTGCATTGAACACATCATAACTATTAGTTCTGATTATGCATCAGGTGGGATTGTGTCCATGTAGAAAGGAAGTTAGTTAGATGATGATGATGGCGAAGTTTCAATTCAGCACATAGCTCTGTTTATCAGTTTATGAGAGAGGTGGTAAACTTCAGTCATGGAGAAATTAATTATTTTGGCCACATTTTCCTCCAATAGGTTGGATAAAAGAATAGATTTGATTCACATTTTAGGTCTTGAAATAAATAACAAAAAGGTCTTTTCTTATAATAGTATTTTTGGTTTTTAATTATTTTCAAATTATAGACTGGCCTCTACAGATTTTTTTTTATTTAAAAAAATAAGTGACTATCCCCCGTAGGTTTTATTTTTTATTTTTTTAAAAATTAAGTGAATGCAACAATGATTGATGGTAACATATATATTTGAGTGTAAAAGAGATACAACATCATTTGTCATCCTTAGATCGTGCTTGAATCATGAATATTAGTAGGAATCTATGAAAGAAAGGAAAGAGACCCTGAAATCATCACTTTGAATAAGAATTTCATGGATTTGAATAACAATTGATAGAGGAAAAAGTATGCAATTGATTTTAGGCAATAATACCATAGTGAAGATTTCAGATTCTCTTTCTCCTCTTCCTGTTTTGTATCATAGCAGTGCTTTTGTAATTCATTTGTTATATATATTGCTTGATTTAAGTAGAATCTTCATGTTTGCGAGTAATTTTTGTCTTTGTGGATATAGAAAAGGCTAAAATTCATGATGTGAGACTCTGATCAAGGAAATATTATTGTTGTCATAGCTAGAATTCTCAAATATATTAAAATTATAGAGCTAACAATGATGAGAAAAATATATAGATATGTGTTTGTAGAACATACCTGCAGATTGATGTGCGACTCCGAAAAATGATATCAAAGTTCCAAATTCCTGGCACCGGCTGCTTTGATGGTCTGTCAGATTTCAGCAAAAAATTCACTGCGGGGAAAGACTCTTTGACTTACAGACTTTAGCCCCTGAGATTTGAATCATATCCGAAGCATACACCATTTTTAGCACTATGATTCATCAGAATACAGCCTCCACCAGCTGTACCTGAATAGATGACTTGTGGAATTATTCTTGTGGTATGTATATATATCTCCCTCAATCACTATTTAATTCCAGCTGTATGTGTCTCCTTTTCACAACTTGTATATATATATATAATAATATAATACAAGGTGGTTTACTCGAGGAAGTTTTGTGGCTCTTTGATCTCTCTTTCCTTTGATCTCTCCTGTAAGATGGTTGGTTCATGAAAAGTGATGCAGATAAGAATTTATAAATTATTTATTTATTTTGATATTTTAGTGTTTAGTTATAATTATTATTTAACGTTAAAATATTTAATTTTATATTTATTTGGGTTGCCTATTTAGTTTATTTCCTTGTTTGACAAGAATTTATATATATTTTTTTAAATATTCTTAACTTGCAAGAATATATATTTTCCTTTTTAAATTTTCTTGACTAGCAAGATTTATTTTAGTATAAATAAGGCTTAGAGGAGTTGAAGTTGATATTTGATTAATGAAATTGATAGTTTTCTTAAAATTATTCGTTCTTAGAGAGAGTATCTCTAGTTCAGATTTATTTGTGGTTCGATCTTGTTATTTGTTCTTATTCCCGATATGCTTCCCTGCATCAGAAGGGAAGGTAGTGAGGACTGAGTGATTGGGTGCATTTTGTTCAGCATTCAATTTTACTCATTTATTAATTTTGTAACAGATTATGTTGTGGGCAATTGAGTTGCAGGGGAAAATCCTATGGAAAATGATGAATATCTTATGTTTTTTCACAAAATTAGTTTTCATTTTTTTTAATGTTCACAAAACAAAATTTGAAAAACAAAATCAAACAATTGTTCTTGGACTGCTTTGGGTCATTTGTTTCATAAACCAATCTCTTTGAATTACACGCGTAATTACTGTGGGTTTGTTTGATAACATTTTGATGCACACATAAAACTAAACTTAGTTTCTTTTTCCTTTTATTCTTTATGCTGTGCAGAACTTGTTCACAGAGTTGAGTGTGTGTTTTGTTGTGGGTTGGGTTGTTTCATTGTATAAGTATTTTTTATTTTATAAAATTATTTACTCGTTAACTCATTTAATAAGGGTAAAATTGGTATTCTCAAAACATAGACAAACAATGTCTGCTATTTCTGTCACTGTCACTGTCACTGATTGAAAGTTTACAGAGGGAGGAGTTTGTTACTAAAAACTAAACCATGGGGATATGACAATCATTTTTGAAACCTGAGGGGAATTGTCTGCTATTATGACAAACCTCAAGGTGGTCAGTGTAATTTACCCCCCCCCCAAAAAAAAAGATAGATAGATAGATAGATATGGTTAAGTAGAATCTTGTTGTTTGTGTGATTTACCTTATGGATTTAGGAAAAGCTATTCGACATGTGTGAGAGAGAGAAAAAACCTGATCATGAAAATATTATCATTGTCAAAATTTTCAAATGAGTAATGTTACAATAATCATGTTTATATATCATGTTAGGTTTATTATGTGATATATTATTATTATTATTATTATTATATTGATAATAAATATAAATGATGAGACTCATTCAAATATGATAAATAAGATGATTAATCCAACATCAAATAGCAAAAAGTGATGAGAAATATGTTTGTAGAAAAACATATCAGTATATTTATGTGCAACTCTGAAAAGAAATGATGTGAAGATCCAAACATGTAATGTATTATTATTGCATTGATAATAGACAAAGTAACGAGATTCATTCCATCAATATAATTATAACAAATAAGATGATAACTTGATATAGGAAAAAATGATGAGATATATGTATTTGTAGAAACATATATACCTCTAGATTATACAAAAACCCTGGTAACTACATTAGTTTGCTTTGTTAGATTTCAGCTAAAGCTCTTTACTGTATGAGAAGACTTTTTGAGTTAATACGTTTTGGGGCCTAATCTTGACTGTTAGCACCCATCCCTGAGAATACAACCTCCAACAGCAGAAGCCAAGCACATAATCAGCCCAGTGGTTCATTTTTTTAAATCAATGGGGAAGATTCCAAGCAAGTTCTAAGTGGTTGTAGAGCATCTTCAAACACATTATCTGAAACAAATTTTGGCTTCATGCGGTTCGAAGTTGACTTCTTCGTTAAATAAAAATAATAACAAATCATCTTAATAAAAAAAATTAAAATCATTTGATAAACTTATTTTTATTAAAAAATTAACTTAATCACTCTAAAAAGTATAAGAAATGTCTTTTTTTTTTTTTTTAAAAAAAAAAAAGGTTTGTTCCAAACAAACTAACATTTTTTTAACATTAACTTAGGAATGTATTAGATAAAAATCAATTAAGCCAATTTGATAACTATAATTCGTATCAATTAAAAATTCAAATGACTACTAAAATGTAGATTAAGAATTAAAAAAATTAACATGAATTTTACTTGTAAGTGAGAACAGAATACCTTGAGATGAAGATCTTGAAATTCAACATTAAATATTAAAACACTGAAAACCTTGAGATTCTCAATGCGCTAAATTTAATATGAATATTCAACATCAAAGGCAACAAGATTCAAAAGTTTTTTAAGCCATCTTTAAAAAAATATGCCTGAAAAAATATGCCGATCCAACACATCTCACTAGATCAGTATATTTCATGTCAAGAACTTAATCTTTGGTATCGGATTTTATGTGAGACTATAGATATTGCTGTCGGGAATTGCTTGGACTGGTTGCAAAGGTTCTAGCTGTGTCGAATGATCCAAGCCATGGGCACAGCATTGAGTAGGTATGCAATTGGCAGTGAGTTTCCTTAACCCATATTAGTAAGTAAATTGACAAGGACTGATCATTACTTTTAATTTAAAGTCTAACCAATTCAATAATTAGTTTAAAATCATACCAATCCAAGACTCTACACTTATTTGAGTCACTTTCAAATAAATATGCCGATCTAACGAGACCTAGTAAATCAGCATATTTCATTTCAAGAACTTGATCTTTGACCACTATTTAACAGACATGTTTTAGCTAAACAAGATATACAGCACTCAAGATTCTAATGCTGTGTTTGGTTAGGGAATTTGAGGTGGGATTTGGAAAAGGAAATGGAAAATGTAGGTGAAATGTGAATAAAACATGTCTAAATTTCACCTAGTTTCACACACTTTTTCCCTTTCCCTTTCCATTTCCAAATCCCTCCTCAAATTCCCCAACCAAACACAGCATAAATATACATATATAATTGGTACAAATGGTGAAGTTGTTCTCCAATCAATGTTGTACTAAATTTTTTCTCCACTAATGTCTTTAACGGAAAAACTATCCAACTCCTTGGAAACACACATTTAGTATTTCACCAATTCTTCAAAGTGGGAGCTCACAACAGATCTTCATCAATCTTTGTTGCTTGGACCCCCCTTCCCTCCCCCCCTTCTTGTTGCCCGCCAATAACCACCCTATATATGCATGCCCTGAGAATAAAATAAATCTTCTTAGCCAAAATAATTATGCAAATAAATAAATAAATGAAGATAAATGACAAACAACCAAACAAATTGAAAATCAAGACTCGAATAACAAATTCTTTTGCCCACATTCTTAAACTAATCAGTAATTAATTACCCTAGACCACTTGTTAATCTAAAACAAGCCAAATTTTTTGGTATATAGGGTCAAGAGAATAGGATTCTCGGTAAGGCTCACACACGCCAAACTCTTGAGCCTATGAAAGCCCATTCAACCACTAATATGCATTATGTGACCAAAAATTCAGAGTCACATGCCAATGAATTTTCATTTATTCTGAAACCCATTGGGAATCCAAATGCCTAAACAGATATCCAACAAGGTCACATAACATATTAGGATTGTTTAAACTTGCCCCTTCATTTGAAGAACTAAGAAACCACATCAACAAAATGACTCCACACAACACCTAGTCTTGTCGTCACTAGAACCTAGTTCAAGGCTTTGCAAGAAGCTGATTCTAGGAGCTTCTATTTCCACATACCACTTTCTCTCAATTCACACACCAATTTTGTTCGAAAGTTGATATCTAAATCAAAAAAGTATATGCACTGATAAAAAGAAATGTGTGAAAATAGACGCTCTCCAAATTTCATGGGCAGAAGCTTTCCTGGTTGGATTCAAACCTCCATACCTAGTTTAAAGTAAAATAAATACAAAGCTAGCTCCGCAAAGTAAAAATAAATAAATTGGCCATGGATTGTCCATAGCTTGCCAGTTTTATCATTTGCTGAAAGGCCTCGTACCTTCATTTAAATTAGGAAGGAATTAATCCGTGATCTTGTTGAAAAAAAATGGGAAAAGAATAAAAAACAGATACCTCAAAACATGTAGGTAATTAGACACTTTTTTCCATGACACCATTTGATGATTCCTTTTTCCCTCTCTAGATAGCCAGTACTTTGTCAATTCTGAACTGCTGTGTGAATGTCGATTCCTCTAGGGGAGTTGACATCCCATTATCATAAGCTAGGAGACCAGTATACGCAATAATTGCTCCATTGTCGACACCGTACCTATCCCCCGTGGAGCACATGATTCTCATCATTTCTTGCAAGCGCTCATTGTTGCCCACACCACCAACAATGAGAACATCTTGTCACAGTGTGCCATTGCTTGTTCTGTAATCTCCACAAGCACCGGAAACATAGTTTCCTAAAACAATTTAAATTGAATGCAGAAATTAAGTCACAACTAGATCGTGTAAATATTTAACTAATACTTGCAATTTACAGGAAACAACCATACCAAATTACCAACTACATAACCTTTTTATCACCACAAAATATGTAAAATTTTTTTAATATTGGAAGCATTCCAAATGATTACCTGAAGGGAATAGCACAAATCTGCAGAGGGTGCATTCATTATTTTTTAGTTGTTCCTCAATAGTGGCTTCAAGATAACTTGTTTGGCAACTCACTGTTTTGGCCTAAAAGTCAAAAAAGTCACAAAAAAAAATTAAAAAGACAAGAACCTATATCAAAAAGTTAAAGATTTTCTTTTCTCTCTACTTTTTACACACATTTTCGTAAAAAATTAAAAAGTCATTCCAAACATATTAATTTTTTTTATGTCATATTTTAACCAAAAAATTACTAAAATATTATGTTACTAAACGATTCCAAACATCCATTCCTTTTGACAACATAGGGAAAGTCTAAATTCACCAATATCTACTGCTCACTGACCA